CTATCAACTATGACCCAAACAACAGTCTTCCCTTTTGATTTGGGAAAACCTTCAATAAAATCCATGTTGATATCTGTCCAAGGAACTGTAGGGAGAGGCAAAGGTTGCAATAAACCAGCTGAAGCAGAAGTATCATACTTGTTCCTGTGACATACAGAACAATTGAGCACATCAGTTCTAATGCCCTTCCAATTAAAGTAAGCCATCAATTTCCTAGTGGTTGCATCAATGCTAAAGTGACCACCTGAGGGAGAGGAATGCCACAGCTACAAAAGCTTAGTCCTTAGGCCCAAATCATTTCCTACCATCGATTTACCCTTCCTCTTAAGCTGATTGTTTATCCAAGTGAAGTGTTTCTGTGGTTTGTTTTGTAAGAAAGTGATGAGACTGTTTAACTCAAAGTCATGAAATCAACTGTCTTGAATTTCACTCCAAAGATCTGTCTCTATAGAAGAAACCATGAAGGTCATTAACTCAGCTCCTGACATTCTTGACAAAGAATCAGCAGCCACATTCTCTTTGCCTTTCTTATACTGGATTTCAAAGTCAAAGGGTAACAACTTAGCCAACCATCTAATCTGCAAGTCAGTATGTAACTTATGTTCCAAGAGGTACTTAAGGGCTTTTTGATCAATCCCACAATAAAATGGTGACCCAAAAGATACTGAGACCATTTGGTAATTGCAAACACCATAGCCAACAGCTCTTTCTCATACACAGACAAAGCCATATGTCTAGGAGCTAACCCCTTGTTTATGAAAGCTATAGGGTGGTCATTTTGCATAAGGACAACACCAATACCTGTGCTACTAGCATCTGTTTCAACTACAAATGGAAGAGCATAGTCAAGTAATGCTAACACAGGAGCAGAACTAAGAGCTAACCAGGGTTATTAAAAGCGCTCGCTTCTCGCTTTAAGCGACGAAGCGAGGCGAGACGCAGGGGTTACGCTTTTCTAAAAAAAAAGCGACTCACACTAGAAAAGCGCACGCTTTTCTCGCTTAAGCGAGAAGCGACACGTTAAGAAAAGCGATAAAAAGCTCGCTTAAGCGAGCAGAAGGCTGAAGCTAGGGTTTTTTTAAAAATTTTGGGCAAATAAACATACGCTCCAAAGGCATCTGTTACCAAAACATACGCTGGTCTTCTTCTCCAGCCCAGCGAACTCCAGCGACACTGCGACAGACCACTGCTGCTCCAAAACAGGTAAGTTTCTTCTTCTTCTTCTTCTTCTTCTTCTTCTGTTCTTCTGTTCTATCTTCTTCTTCTTCTATTCTTCTTCTTCTTCTTCTAGTCTTCTTCTTCAGTTCTTCTGTTCTTCTTCTTCATGCTCTGTTTTCTGTCTTCTTCTGTTATTCTTCTTCTCTTCTATTTTTCTTTCAATTTTTTCTCCAGATTAAGCGCTCATATTTTGCCCTAAATGACTTCTTTTTGTTCTGTTATTAAAAATGTTCTTTATGCTCTGTTTTCTTCTGTTATGCTCTATTTCTGTTATTAAAAGTGCCCTTTATGCTCTGTTTTCTGTTTTGTTCTGTGAATTAATAGGATGTTGCTCCTTTTGTGGTTTTGTTTTGCATTTGCTTAAGATATTATGACTTTTGAGGATTATTCACTATCTAGTTTTAGTATCTATTATGAAACATTTGCTTAATATGTTATTTTTAATGAGTTCTTAGCCATTTATCTATGCCTATATTTTTTTTATGTGTTAAATTGCGCTTCACAGCAAAAAAGCGCGCGCTTCTCGCTTCTGTGAAGCGAGACCTCGTCGCTTTTTTGCGCTTAACGCTTTCCAAAACAGTGGAGCTAACTTCAATGCTGCAAATGCATCTGCAGCTTTAGCATTCCACAGAAAACCATCCTTCTTGAGAAAGTCAGTGAGGGGCCTACTAATAAGACCATATCCCCTAATGAACTTCCTGTAATACCCTGCCAGGCCCAAGAAGCCTCTCAGTTGCTTAACAGTAGTGGGAGTTGGCTATTGCTAGACTGCTTTAATTTTCCTAGGATCAGTAGAAACCCCTTCAGCAGTAATAAATTGCCCTAAGTATTCCACCCTTGAAACTCCAAAGGAACACTAAGATTGCTTGGCCATTAGATTGTGAGTGACCATAGTATCAAATACCTGCTTCAAATGTCCCACATGATCTTGCAAATTAACACTATAGATCAAAATGTCATCAAAGAACACTAATACAAATTTCCTTAGTAACTTCAGAAACAAGTGATTCAAGAGACATTAAAATGTAGAGGGAGCATTAGTTAAGCCAAAAGGCATTACTAAATACTCATAGTGTCCAGAATGTGCTTTGAAAGCAGTTTTAGGAACATCCTCAGGTAGCATCCTTATTTGATGATAGCCAGATCTGAGATCAATTTTAGAAAAAAATTGTAGCCCCAACCAGTTTATCCAGTAGGTCATCTATAAGAGGTATGGGGAATTTATCCTTGATTGTGCAGTGATTCAACTCCTTGTAATCTACACATAGTCTCCAGGACCCATCCTTCTTCCCAACAAGGACCACAGGTGAGGAGAAACTGCTACACCAAATGACCCCTTGCTACATCATTTCATTAACCAACTTTTCATTGATGTCCTTTTTAATAGAAGAATACATGTAGGGCCTAACATTCACAGGTTTTTAACCAGGTTGGAGGGGTGTTCTGTGGTCAAAAGCTCCCCTTTAAGGAGGTAGTGAGGTAGGTTCAGCAAAGATAAGTTGGTATTGATACAACAACTGATCAATAAGGGAAGTACTATCAGATTTGGCCATGTGCAAAGCTTGACAGTGCATATCATTATGTGAGCTAGGAATGCTATCCCTCACTTGTAGCATAAAGAACTGCATATCCTCCCCTTTTAATCTATTCAAGGAATTTGGATTGGAGACCTAACATTCCTCAGACACTCCCCTCAACAAGTGAGACTTTCCTTGATAATTGAAAGTCATAGTGAGCTCAGAATAGTCCATGGTAATGGGACCTAGTGTTTTCATCCATAAAGCTCCCAGAACTAGATCATATTTACCAACTGGAAATACAATTAAGTCAGATGAGAAGGTGGTACCCTGTAGGATCCACTCAAAACCCCTAACAACCCTAGAAGTGGCTTCTAAAGTGTTGTTAGCTCACCCTGGTAGGACAAATTTGACAACCCAACCTCTCGGCAGCCTTCTCGTCAATAAAGTTATGTGTACTAACTCCATCAATTAAGATTTGAATTGGACTCTTCTCACTATATCCAGTGACATGAATGGGCTCCTTGTAATCCACTTAAAGCACATAGGGATATCATAGGAGTATCTCCTTCCAGAGCTGACCATTCTTCACTAGAAGGACCCCCTCAGATTCCTGCTTAACAACCTCTCCACATTCACCTTTTGATACTTCTAGATCCATCACAAATAATTATTTAGGTAGGTTACATTTATGACCAGCAGTGTATTTATCATCACAAAATAAGCAAAGACCCGTGCCCTTCTAGCCTGCATTTCTGCAGGAGAAATAGTTCTCCTGTTTCTAGGGACACTAACAGTGGTTGAAGGAGGTAAAGCCAGTCTAGGAGTGGAGGTAATAGAACTAGGATTATGTTTGAGGGTAGGTGGCTCATAGGATGGCTTTTTGAGGTGAGTATATGACACAGAAGTAGTGTTACTCCTTAGGGCTCTAGCATTAGCAGCTAAGGTTGCTTCAGCTAATCTAGCTAGGCGATAGGCTTTGGACAAGGTCTGAGGTTCATGCATCTTGACAGGGTTCACTAATTCCTCCTTCAATCCTCCTAAAAAACAAGAGATCTCCTGGCTAACAGTTAGGTCACACTTAAATAATAGCCTAGCAAAAGCAAATTGAAACTCCTTCACTGACTCGGTCTGCTTCAGTTGCTTCAGTTCTAGCATAGGATCAGTATACTACTCACTAAATGTTTCAATCAAGGCTTCAATATACTCATCCCATGGTGGAAGGATAGGTGAATCTCTGTATTTCAAATAAGATTGATGCCAAGCTAGAGCATCATCATCCAAATTCATTGATACTATACTGACTTTCTGATTTGCAGCAGTATTGTCAATAACAAAATATTGATCAATTCCATACAGTCAGCTTTCCAAATTTTCACCATTGAATCTAGGAAATAGCAGATTATGACCTCGATTGTTATGAGCATAGACTAGGCCCTAAAATTCCCTGACCTGATTGCAGCACATTGTCTCGACCCTTGGAGGTGGAACTGCTGTCTCTTGACTGTTGATGTAATTGCATTCCATCGATCGAGTTTTTGAGGTCGAGCTTCTACACCGGGAGCATATGACTTTGACCGTATACAATTATGTTGACTTTTAACTTGTGTTATATCGTCCTGTGGTAATAAGAGAAAGATCTGAAATGGGAAGCTCTCAATATAAAAGAAGTCAGCAAAGAATAGGGGAGAATCGAATGCCAAGTGGGGTGTAGTTTGTCATGAAGTTGGGTGAGTGAACTATACTTGTTCGTTGATTTAAGGGAAGCACTGGGTGTAGGAATACATTTTGAAACCTACCAAGCCTGTCTAAATTTGAACTTGTTAAAAAGTGATGTATTCATTTTAAATAGGTATGATTCTACTCAACTAAAGAATTGCATCTCGGCATGGCATATGTACAACCCAATCTCAAATTCATGAGACGATACATAATAATAGTTTACGATAGAAGAAATCATCGTCGTACTGTCCTTAGTGCATGCAGGCAATTGCCACTACTGCGTACATTCTTTTTCTTAAAGAGAGGAGGTTAGATATGAATGGAGCAGAACATGCAACATGTTGCTAATTGCTAGAGGAATTAATTCATTGATCAACCAATATACATTACACGGACAGAATGAGTTTGTTTTACCATTTTTAAAAGCCAATGAGTAATTCTCATTGATGATTCTAGTCTTAATAATGATTCCTGATCGTAATGCATCATGGTCACAATAAAATGCTAACACAGTTGCAGCAGAACTGGAAAAATTTAAAAACCATAAGCATCCACGTATTAGGTTATGCGTTCGTTCCTAATGAGACATTAACAAGTCCCGAAAATCAAGATCCATAATAGCATTCTAATTTTACCCGTTGCAGTTCCGAGTCTTTTTACAGTAATCTACTCCAAATCTTCAAATCCAGTAATCTAAGAGGAAAATTGTCACTCAAACATTATTCAGTCGAAGAAAGCAATAGAGGAAAATGAGAGAAAGCCTCTCTCATGCAAAGAAATATTCTATCGGATAGAAGCAGTGCATTAAGATGCATGGGATCGGAGCACAACAGAAGCAACACTGCATCTGAAATTCTCTTCTTCATCATGGTCAACACACCACACTCATTACTACTTTGCTATAGAATAAGGGCCTGCCACAAGTAGATAATTGAAGTTCATTGATCAGAATATATATACAACATAAGTTGGTCCATTCGCCACAAAATTTATTGCACATTACTATTAACAAGTCCTAGCTCGTTATTAGGTTATGTATAAAGAAGCCTTATCCCTATGCCCACCGTCCACACCATTGCACTACATATTCCTTTCTGCTGCCAGAAAAAGTTCGATCCACTTAAATCACTAGGTTAAGCACAAAGAAGGCTTATTCCTTTATGCTTTGGAAAATGTCCATTTGATCATAACGACGTCTCAATCCCATTCTAGTTAGGATAAATTATATGAGTACTCTATATATGGGCTGAACCAAGGGAGAGAAAAAGCAAGAGCAGCCTAATTTCTTGGTTAAGTAAACTGCCTCTGAAAGCCATAACAATGGGCTGCCTAATGTCTGTTGACTGCTGAGTTTTCTCAGCAGTTAATTATAAGTTTAACTATTACTGTGCCAAATTACTAAAATGACGCATAGACATAGTGTTGATGCTTTTGCTGGCACGTTGTTCTCACTAATTCATGCTAAGCAAAGGAAGTTTTTTCAAAAGGATTTTCCCATTGCTGTTGACAAAATTAAAAGGTAAAAGAAACGACATCTGAGATCTAACTTATTCACTTCATTCAAAGCCCAAATTCATCCAGTAACACTAATGTCAATTACTCAATCAACTATACTTCAATCCAAAAATCCAGCAAAACTTAATACTATAGGTAAAACGAAAGGGAGAAGAACTCGGGCAGAGGAGGATATTTCAGTATACATTCCATTATTTACACAGTAAACACCCTTTGAAATGATATATACGAAGAACCTTAACATCTGCAGAGAAAGTCCGGAAGTAAACTAACTAAAAGAACATACAAGGAAAAGAACAAAACATAATATTTAAACTAGGAATCTGACAAGATATACCTAAGTATATCAAGCCCATGAGTTATCAAAAGCAGCCGAAGTAATCGCCTGAGTGAATTCCTGAAAACTGATCCTGCCATCTCCATCCGTATCAGCTTCTCTGATCATACCAGTAAGCTCTTCCACGGTCAAAGAATGTCCAAGCTTAGCCATGGAATGAGCCAACTCAGCAGCCGTTATATACCCATTTCCGTCCCTGTCAAACATCTTAAAAAGCTGTTTCAATTGCTCCTCCGTGTAAGGGGACTTTGCAGGAAGAAGCTCCGGTGCAACAAGTGAAACAAACTCTGAGAATTCAACAAGGCCATTGTCATTTTTATCGGCCTTTTGGATTAATGTGTCAAGCTGATCAGCACTTGGTTTTAAACCAAGTGACCTCAATAGCGCGCCAAGCTCGAGTTGGGTCAGACTCCCATCATCATTTCTGTCGAACGACCGGAAGATTTCTCGCAGTTCAGCCAACTGCTCATCATCTAACTTCACAGGTTCTTTATTGCTCATATTTTTCTCTGAGGCAATAAAGCAAACAGTTATAGGCCCTGTACGATTCTTGAAAATCAATATCAATGGGTTTTTTTCCTTCAAAAAAGGGAATTGGGAACTTTTCGGCAGCAGATTCAAAAAAAATGGTTTTTCGCTATTCGTGCCGTCCTCTTCTACTGACTTATTGACTACTCTTTAGCTGATAACTTTTTCTTGTTGGACTTGGTAATGGATCCACCAAATTCGATAGATTTACAAGGAGAAGCTATACCTACGAAATGCGAGTCCCAAGTTGAATTAGTTATCACTTCTTATATTGTTAAGAAAGTTAATTATACTGTCTACTGGTGAAATGAATATTATTTTAACATGATGATTTGTATAACAAAAAGAAGAATGTTCGGGACATCTTTTTTCCTTTTTTGAGCCAGTAAAAAATGATAGTCGTTTATATTTTCTTGTCTACTCTTTCAACTACCATATAATTAAAGGCTATATGTCATTGATTGCGATATTCCAATTTACTTATTATATTTAAATAAATTCTTGAATCAGAACAGATGATTCAGTTATTCAATACGTTATAGATAATTACAACAAAATGTTGTCATTGAGACCTTGTTACAGAGGCGGATCCAAGATTTGAGGCTTATGGGTTCCTACCATAATTTCAGATTAATATGCAATAATAACTGGGTTCACAATAAGATATTTATCAATATTTGGTGAATTTCTTAATATAAATACAGAGTCTACGCAAGAGTTACTGGGTTCCTGAGAACTCGTAATCTATACACTAGGTCCGCCCCTGCCTTGTTATGGTGATAAGGTTAGTGCTGATATGGATTGATACTAGTAGTAATATTTTTCAAAAGACCAAACGCTTCAACATTTGAGATTAACATACTCGAATTTTTTCAGTCTGTACCTTTTTTTTTATGTACAAAAGTCAATATTCCTCTTTTATTTTAATTTATTTATGGACAAGTAGGATTATCATGATGAACACAAAAATATTAAATTGAGAAGAGGAGGAAATGGGGGCAAAATGGCAAAAAGTTGCGCCACAAAACGCGGGAGTTTCGTGATGAAATTAAGAGCACGTCGTTATTAGGAGATAACTAGTAGTCGTACCCGCGCGATGCGCGGTCAGTATTAAAAAATTAAATTAAATTAAATTATGATAGGGCTTGTTTGATCTTATTAGATTGTATTGCTTTAATAAAATTCAATTGTCATCTTACTTGTCAATACGATATACCCAATAATGAAATCTCTATTAAATCAAAGGTACTTATATAGTTAGTGAATAACTTTTTTGTTCTATATATATTTTTTTATTATATTAACCAATATTTAATATTCACTTTCTTTTTGTCATATATGAGAAGATTTATAATTTATTACTGTTGAAATATTTTTTTTATTTTAAATTTTATTCTATTGTTCTTAATAATATTATCTAAATTTTAATGAACAAAATCTCTATTAAACTAACGGGACTTATACAGGGAGCGCATTGAATAACTTTTTTGTTATGTATTTTTCTTTATTATATCATCTAACATTTAATATTATTACATTGTTAATAGAAAGTTTTATTAGCATATTACTTTATTAAATATTTTTCTCTGAAAGTTTTTTATGTCTTTATTTTCGTTTTATTTATTTTAAAATAATTTTTAAAACTCCAATTTGAAACTACTCCCAAATTTGAATTGGTAATTCATTATATTTTTAATTTCATTTTTTATTTTAAAATTATTTTAAAACTCCAACTTGAAACTACTTCCCGATTTGAATGGGTAGTTCTTCTCTTTTTTCATTTTTTATAGTTATTTTTTTTCCTTTTATTTTAAAATAATTTAAAAACTCCAACTTGAAACTACTCCCACCCAATTTGAATGGGTAGTTATTTTTTTATATATTTATTTTTCGTTTTTTTATATTTAATTATAAGATATCTATATTTATTACTCCAAATAAAGTAACCAATTAATACATACATACATACATACATACATACATATATTAAAAACTATATATGTTCCTTCCACCCAAAACATATTACCAATATTTACTCAAGTAAAAAAGATTATTCTAATTTCAATTTTGATAGACAATAAATATCGGAATAAATTTAGAAAAATGATACTTGGGAAATGTAAAAAGAGTAGACAACACCATACTTAAGCTTTTAATTTTAGAGGCTTGGAAATGGTCGTTGTTCTCATATTTCATTGTTTTTCGAACTAAAATGTGAATAAATAAAATAGCAAATTAATCATTAATAGCGCCGCACTAAAGACTGCGAAATACGCTAGTAAAATACATTGAGCACAATCTCAAATGAAATTATAGCCTTAGTGATGGCTTCATGACTGAGCAATCTTTTGTAACACTTATAGAGATAACGCAGAATTAAATAATTTGTAGCAAACAACACTTAGTCCTCCAACAAAGATAGACACGATATGACAAAGAATGAACGCAATGAAAAAATGCACCAAGCAATTTATTGAAGGATGTTTCCTCAATAGGTTATGAATTATAGCAACAAATTACTAATATTCCTGAAAGAGAGACGGATAGTGAAAGTCACCTGAGTTTTTTACAAAAAGCAGCAGCCAAATATTCTGCAAGAAGTGGTGAAAATTTGCCAAATATTCTGGAAATGTCGCTACATTGAAGCCTCAAACACTGTTATTTTTCGTTCCATTAATATGCTTAACGTTTCTTTCCTAATCGTCCTTCTCAGATTCCATGGAAGGGGAGTTCTGATGATGGTGGGTATATTTTAGGGCTTCTTTTAAATACAGCAGTTTGGTGAAGATTCTGGTCTAAGCAGTTCCCTTCTTTCTACAACAGTTTATTTCGGTTAGTTACAGTTTTAAAATTTCTGTAAATACCGGACACAAGTGAACGTGGGTTCATGGATTGTGTATGGCTATCATATTTATCTTTTTATTTTAAATTTTAGTATTACTTAAAGGTTAGAAAAAAATAGCATAAATACTAGCCGTTAAATATTGTTGAAAATATCCTAAATTGTTTAAATTTTGTCTTATAAGATGTGCCAAATGGCAATATATTAAGCTTCTACTTCGTTAAAAATAAATACTTGTCATGTTATGGTAATAATACTTGGCATCATGGCATTGTTTTGCCTCTTTTTTTACTTTATTTTTAATATAGATAGATTCTTCGTGAAATACTTTGTAAAATAAAATTGCAATTGTAAGTCTGTAAGATTATATAAATAAAATTTTAAAAACGGTTAATTCCAAATGTGGGAGAAAGTAATTAATTTTTTGGAATTGTCAGGTTTAATAAATAAATAAAAAGCAAATAAATTTTGAATTGACAGTTTTTTATTTTTATAATTTTAGTTTATTATTTTAAAACTCCAACTTGAAACTACTCCCACCCAACGTGAATGTGTAGTTATTTTGTATATATTTATATTTTCAATTTTTTTATCATAACTAATTATGAGATATCTGTATTTATTAATTAAAATAAAGTAACCAGTATATATATATNAAAATTAGGAACAATGTCTTAACATTACATGTGTCAATAGTTTGTTCTGCCATTTGGCTTCATGAGAGGCTTTTTTCTAGCTTTTAATTATAGATAGATATATAGATATAGAAGACTTGGCTTAAGGAGAGGGCTTTATCCTCTCCTTTTAATAATATATAGAAGATATATAGAATATAGAATATTAGAAAGAAACTACTCCCCAATTTGAAATGGTAATTTTTATTTTTTTAGTTTCATTTATTTATTTTAAAACTCCAACTTGAAACTACTCACCGATTTGAATGGGTAGTTTTTCTTTTTCTTTTTTCGTTTTTTATTATAGTTAATTTTATTTTTCTTTTTTTTTATTTTAAAATAATTTTAACACTCCAACTTGAAACTACTCCCACCCAATGTGAATGTGTAGTTATTTTTTATATATTTATATTTTCGATTTTTTTTTATCATAACTAATTATGAGATATCTGTATTTATTAATTAAAATAAAGTAACCAATATATATATATATATATATATATATATATATATATATATATATATATATATATATATATATATGGTAGTTTTTTATTTTTTATTATTTTCGTTTTTATAGGTATTTAAATTCAAATATAATAAGTAATAACTAATTATTAACTAAAAAACTAATTATGCCATGTGGCTTTTTTTTATGCTGCCACTTGGCTTAAGGAGAGGGCTTTATCCTCTCCTTTTAATAATATAAAATATAGATATAGATATAGATATATAGATATAGATTTCATTTTTTTAATTTTAAAACTCCAACTTGAAACTACTCACCGATTTGAATGGGTAGTTTTTCTTCTTCTTTTTCGTTTTTTATTATAGTTAATTTTATTTTTCTTTTTTTTTTGTTTTTTTTTTTTAAAATAATTTTAACACTCCAACTTGAAACTACTCCCACCCAATGTTAATGTGTAGTTATTTTTTATATATTTATATTTTCAATTTTTTTTTATCATAACTAATTATGAGATATCTGTATTTATTAATTAAAATAAAGTAACCAATATATATATATATATATATATATATATATATATATGTGTAGTTTTTTATTTTTTATTATTTTCGTTTTTATAGATATTTAAATTCAAATATAATAACTAATAACTAATTATTAACTAAAAAACTAATTAGTAACCAATTATGCCATGTGGCATTTTTTTAGGCTGCCACTTGGCTTAAGGAGAGGGCTTTATCCTCTCCTTTTAATAATATATAGATGACCCTTACGACTTTGTCAAATGTTTTTTAAAATTTGCCATATTCTCTTTCTTAGCTAGCGTTTGACCATAGATCCCAAATTTGTTTTGAAAAATTTGATATGGATGAAGTTTGGTTTGAAGATGAAAATGTGTTTGGACATACGTTTTCAAAACATATTTTCCAACTTTATTTTGGAAAAACACGTATATAATTCTCAAGTTTTGGGATTTTGGCCTAAAATCAGCTCAATAGCTGATTTTGGGATTTGAAATTTGGGATTTGGGATTTGGCCAAAATATGGGCAAAATTTATGGCCAAACATGAGTTTTGAAAATAAATCCCAAATTTATTTTGGCAAAACTCATGGCCAAGCGGGGCCTTAGTATTACTTATTGTAAGAGTAAAATCGGGGAGCCGAAATATTCGCCGCTCGCCGGATATTGCAGCGTGGATCACGCTCAATATTGGCTGCAGATCATATTTTCGTGGGAAAGAAGGAAGGAAAAGATTAGCATCCCATTGTTTTTTTAGATTGTTTCTGGCACACATGTCAAGGCAGTAAAAATTGATTTAGCTTTCATCAATTGTTTAAGCATTCTTTCTAACCGTTCACTGTTTAGTTGGATCCGAGCTATATCTCTGGGGC